TTTTTTTTTTTTTTTTTTTGGTCATCTGCCTAATGGAAGAGAAAATCCAGGAAAGAAACCCCTGCGAGATACAGAAACATAGTCTGATCCGCTATTGGAGTCCCTGAATATAGCCATGCCAATCCCGCCTCAGCCTTCCAGTTTTGATAAAGGACTCTTGCTAAAGACAGAAGGGGATGAGAGAGGAAGGAGAAAGGAAAACAGCACGAGACGGAGAGAGCAGGGAAAGAGGATGACAGAGAATACGTGAGAAACAGAAGACAAGATGACTCTGCTGACAGAACGGAGAAGACAGACGAGCACAGAGAGACAGGAAGAGGGAGGAAGAGGAGAGGGCGTTCTCTGTAGAATCAAGAACAGCACGACGGTGCTGTCCATCACCATGGCATTGGGCATCCAGCCGGAGATCCTACAAATGCCACTGCAGAAAAAGAAACGAATGGTAAGGGGCTGCTGTGTGAGATGCTTTCGCCTCTTACTTTCCACGACGATGTGCTAATTCAGGCAACACCCTTTGTTTCACTGGTTTCCTTCTCCCAGGAACTAAACACCCCTGGCCTTCATAGGATTAAGAGTCACAGATTCTCTCACTGCCAGCGTCCTCCACAGTAACGCAGGGGACATTGTCCCTTCCGTCCCTAGAAGCCCCTCCCATCCCCAGCACCTGCTGGGGCATCTGGTGTCTAGATTTGAATCTTGGGTCTAATCAGCGGGATGACTTTTAAAGACTTGCTTTCCTCGCCTGTGAAGTAAGGGTGGTGTCAGCTTTCTACAGGGTTAGTAAGAGATTTAAATGGGATAGCATGGGAGAGCACGCTTCCTGGCACGCTCCGGTCTTTCTATTTCTATTCCTGTCGCTATTCTTCATGGAGTGTTTGTTTTCAGCACAAATCAGATCACTCCTATTCTGTGTCTAAAACCCTGCCAATAGTTTCCCATCTCACTTGGAACAAAATGCAAACTCTGCCCTGGGTTCTGCTGACTTCTCTAAGCCCTCTGACTTCCAGCCCCTCGCTCACCTTCGCACTCTTCCTCAAACTGGCCTGGCAGGTTCCCATCCCAGGGAACAAACAGGCTGTAGCTCTCTTCCCCAAGACCTGACAGGGCTGACAACTTCACCCCCAACTCCAAGAGGGCTTCCCTGACGACCGCTAAAAGCAGGGAGCACTTGAAAGTCTGGGGTGGGTGAGCTGTGGAGGGGAGCATCTGCTCATGTGCTGGGCCACTAGCCTGTATGTGCCCCAGGGCAGGCACTGTCCTACACAGGGACCTCTGTTTCTCTGGACAGGAGAGTGTCCAGGCTTGTTAGCTGCAATGGGGAGCCAGTCCTGGGCTACCTTTCCAACCCTCTGAAGTTACTGTCTCTCATTCCCAGGTTCTGTCCTCCGCTTCAGGTTTGTTTTATGATACTCTTCTCCGCCTGGCTCTGCCCAGAGGACGGAGACTGCAGTGCTGGAGGAGAAGGGACCCTTCTTCCAGTCTGCTTGCTGTGGGGTTGGCTCCCGGTGAGTATTGCTCCAGCCTCCCACCCCTCTCTGAAACTATGGTAGCAAAGCCTTTCTATAGCAGCAACTGAATCCGGCCTGATTCTCCACCATCGAGTCAGCGTTTCTGTGTCCCCTTCCCACGTTGGAGACATCAGCGCCTGCCGGCTGGTAGCCCTTCTCAAAGTTCTGGGCTCCCTTCTCTGAGACCAGAGACGGAGCAGCCTCCCGCCCCTCCTCGGAAGACTGAGTTTCGGCTCTGTGGTCCCCTCTTTCAGGTTTCTGAGTTTTAATAATCCATTCTCATCCCCCCAGGGTGGGGGTTGTCATAACTACTTCCTGCAGTTGGTACTTGCATGACATTTTAGGGTTCTCTCCTTGCCTCTTCTCTAGCGCACAACTTTGCATTAAATTCTCTCCGTCCGAATAATTCATGTAATTTCTGCTCCTGGCTGGATCCTGAAAGGTACAGTAAACCAAAAAATAAAGATGGAGAAATTAGATCGTTCGGTTAAGATAGGGACCGAAATGGCCAGAAGATGCTCAACTCAGACAACAAGGGGGTCAAAGAGAAATTAGGCATGTGGCAGTCTTTTCTAGGGTCCAGGAGAGAGAAAATTACAGGCCAGGATAGAGCAGGATAGTAAGGATGGGCCGGAGGGCATTTCATTCAAAAACATGCATGAAGGGAACGTTTCCCAACTCATTTCACCTGGCCACTTGTACCAGATAACAAAATCAGACATCTTAAGAAAAAACACTTGTTTAAAACATTGTCTTTATGTGTTACTGTGTGTAGAGTTAACCATTCTTTTTACATGAAATAGTGGGCGCTGAAGAATTTCTTCCCTCCCACTTTTCTACTTTGTTTCTTTGGGAACATATCAAGCCCGATCAATTCAGTTTAGATGATACCTGTCTGCTTACCTAGATTTCCATTCTATTCAGGCCATTTTTGTTCTTTAGGTCCCTTCATCACTTTGGAGTCATGGCATTGCAAGCAGTTCCATGAATGCTCTGATTGGTCTGATGTATGAGTCATTTTTTAAATTATAAGGAATGCCTCCAGTATTATTCTTCCCTGTGTGGAAAAAGGTGGTCGCTATCAAGGAGAAACAAGAGGGCATTAAAGTAAACTTCCTTCCAATTCGGAATGCGTGACTTTCATTAACTGCATTTCACCGTAGAACCTGTAGCTGTTCTGTAAAACTGAACATGTCCTTTTCTCTGGTTGGTACCAGGGAATGAACTCTGTCCCTTGTGCTTGCCAGGCAGGCGCGGCACTGTTGAGCTGCATCTCTGGCCCAATATGTCTTTTTTACGCAAGTGACATTGTATTTAATGTACCAAATTGTTAATCTAAGTTTTATATTTTAAACAAATCCTTTCAAAGATGGCTTTAACCAACCTTTAAAGTATGAACAAAGTGTCTATGTTATTATTTATAGAGACTTTGTAATTAAATCAAAGTATATAGCAAGTTTTAAATGCTATTGTGTATTACTTTTAAAATTCAAAAGAGTGAAACAGGTTCAGTCATGAGAAGATGCCTGAAAAAAAGAAGTATCCAGGCCAGTGGGTATAAGTTTTATTTCATCATTTAATCAATCAATCACTTTGGATGAATGACATACTTCAATTTTACACTGCTCGAACTTTATTTTGCACAGGCATTTCATTAATTATTACTCTGATTTGACAGGCAACCCTTCTGAATATAGCTTGCAGTCTGAACCAAACAGTTTGTCATGGCTAAGTAATTATGTATTTAAGAAAAACCCAGAAGCAAAACAAAACAAAAATATGCAAGAAAACCCTCCTGAATTTCAGGTATTCTAACTAAAGTGATAGACAGAACTGGATTCCATAACCAGCCTTTGTACCTGTAATTAGTGACTTGTGTGTGGTTTGTGCTCTATAATTACTTCTACCTACCAGAGGCAACATGTTGTCTTCATGGCTGGTGGTCAGTGATGAGTTACAATGGAGAAGGAGGGGGAAAGGGGATAGAAAGGACACAGGAAAGAGGAAGGGATGGCCAAGGTTCTTGATAGTGGGCAAAAATACACGGAGTTTTAATAAAGGGAAGGCACACCACAGAAAACCACCTCTCCCTCACTTATGCATCATTATGTATTTTTAAAAAATATTATTTTCTTTCAGCTCATATTTCTTCCTAACCCAACTGTGTGGCAAGAAAAGAGATCCAGGATTGGGACAGAGCAAAATTTCTGTGACTGGGATATAGAAGACAGAGATATACGTGATTAGATGTGAGGACGATGGCTGTAAAGGTGTTCAGAAAGGAACACACTAATTCGGGGTTTTTCAGACCTGCTCAGGGAAGTGTATTAGTCAGCGTTCCCACTGATCAATACAATACCCAACACTCACGACCTACAGGAAGGAAGGTTTTATTTAGCTAATGGCTTGAGGGGATCCAGTCCATAGTCAGCTGGCTCCAAAGCAGGAATATCATGGCCGAAGTGTGTGGAGGAGCCAAGTTTATGATGGCTGGGGTCAGAGCAGAGAAACAGACACCAGCATCTTACCTGCAACTTGCACACACAAAATAGGTTAGGGAGTGGGGACCCAGGAGGCTGCCAGGGGGTTGTTATACAAATGTGCTATTTCTTGAGCTGGATGAAAGTTTTCCAGGTATTGGCTTTATACTTATTTTTTAAATGTTCATATAAAAAAACAAATGGGAAAACAGAGCCACTCTCTGGGGCCAGGGGTTTATAGGGCCTAGAGGAACAGTCGGATGACTCTTGTTTCCTCAGACATCTGATGTACTAAGAGGGACACAGGTTTACACCTGGCGGAGGCGTGGAAGCCCTAGAGGAATGAGGAAGTGAAACAAGAGGAGCTGATCAAATGCCTGATTACGCTGTGTTTCCTCTAAGCAGAAGAAGCCAGTGAACCAGCCTAACGCCAATGAGGTGCAGTGAGCTGTGGCACGTTTCTCCCTCCTCATCTTCCCACGCCACAGACTGATGGGAAAACAGGCTTCCCACAGCTTTGTCTTCGGGAATAAGTCTTGCTGTGCTTGGGCACGGGTGTGCAGGCACCCGGAAGACACCTAATTGCTCTAGAACCTGGGAGCCCTATGTTTGAGGTAGGGGCTCCACTGGATCACGGCAGGGCCCCAGGGCCTCTCAGAAACTGGATGGAAGCAGACGCAGGGGGCCGTCTGGGCTCTGCTCCAGCTGAGGCAATGGCACTCAGCAGCTGCATTCACTGTATTTAGAACCATGCCTCGCTTTCTCTTTTTATTATTTTTACTACTATGTGTTTGCAGTACATAATGATTGCATTCATGATGGGGAGCTGGTACATGGATGTAACACATCTTAATCCTCCTTACAGCCCTTCTCTCTTCCCTCCCTTCTTACTCCCTTGTGAAGACACAAGAGTCTACTTCCAGGGATTGCTTCAGAAAGGCCAAAATGCTGGGAGAAGTGTCTTCTAAGGAAGGGGGAGTCTTTTGAGGAGGACTACTGGCAATCTATCTTTTACTGGGATGATGTTTTAATTTAAATACACATCCTAATGTTTGAGCGGCCCTTGTATGGGAATTACTTGACTCTGTACCTCACAGCCCTGTGGGAAGAGCTGACAAGTAGCAAATATAATCATACTTCTAATCTATTTCTTCCCATCAGCCAGAGAGTTTTCAGGCCAGGTGCACTTATTCACACATGAGCAGCCAACATGCATTTAAAGTAGGGGGACAGTCTTGATATTTTTAAACGCTCTGGACCTTTGACCCTGGCTCTACACCTGCTCCCTCGTCTCCCACTCTGTCTGTCCCTGCTGCTCCCTACCTTTCTCTCGCATATGCATAGGAAATTATGTACTCAAGGATGTGCGTTGCAGCAAAACATTGGACATTGACCTGAGTTCTACTAGTAGGAGATTAAACAAATTTTATGACACATCTATAAGATGGAAAGGCTGATAAAAAGTAATAAGGCTACTCTGTACTGATAAGGCATCATATCCAAAATACATTTAAACTTTGTTTAAGAAAACAAGACGCAAAAGAACACCTGCAGAAGGCTCTCACCTGCGTGAAAAGTATCACTATACACACAGAGACTTTTCAATGCCAAGACTACCTGTGGCAGGCGTCCTAAAGCCTAGTACTAGAAGTCACCTCTGGAAAGGAGACCTGAGGAGCAGAGGCAAGAGGCAGGCTGTTTTTTTCCCCCCTGCATGCTGTTTTGTTAATGCGTGACGTTACTGGTTTTGTTTTAAAATATATTTAGAAAGTTAGGGAGGATTCGCATTTATCCAGACTGGGGAGAGCTTCGAAATCCATCAGTTCAAACTCCCCACCTGCTTCCCTTATCTGGCACTTGCCGTGATATCTCGCTCACTGGAGTGCTCTTTCACAGCCCGCTGACATTTCCACCCTGAGTGCTGACCTCAGGCAGACAGGACTCACGCTGGCCTCCACATGTGAGCTGCTTCTGGGAAGGTCCTGGTCCGCCACACTGATCCTGTCCCTGAGGATTCCCATCAGTTTCAGTGCACATCAGCCCTTCTGTCACCTGAAGGTTCTGTTCTTCCTCTGACCTCATCCTCAACCCTTAGATCTTGGGCCCCTCCCTTGTGGGTCCTATGATTCCTTTTTCTGTTCTTCTCAATTGTTTAAGTCTCTGACCCCTGCGGCTAGTTTCTCCCATCTTCATCATTCTCCTGTGTTGGATCAGAAACCCTCCCTGATCGCTCTGGTTTCAGGTAGAAGGTTATAATAGAGGACCCCACTCACCGACCCAGGTCCAATAAGTCAGAGCCGGGAGAGCAGAGTTTGCTTCCCATGGATCTTATGCCATTTTTTCCAACTTCATGAGTCTGGGAATTATGTACCTTTTGTTCAAATTTCTTAACAGACTCTTTCTGGGGAAAAAGTATTATAAAGCGAAACAAGTCCAGATCTGAGGCAGAGAGATGTGGGTTTGAATCTTTACCTGTTAATTACTAGCGGTGTGGTCTCCGTCAAATTCCTTTTACCTCATAGAGCTCAGGATTTCTTCTGAAAGATGAACATAAGAATGCTCACTTCACAGGGTAGTAAGGAGGATGAAATGGATTTTGCCTGTAAGGGTGTAATTTGGAGGCTTGACTTAAGAGTGGTGCTTAGTAAATGGTGTTTTCTCCCCCTGAACCTTCTCCCACCTCCCTCTGCCAGCTTCCTTCCAGGGAAGCTGTGCCACCTACCTGCTTATTATTGTACATGTGCAGGAACACTTACTGCGTATTTTTTATGTGCAAATTCACCCACCCAGAGATGTAGAGACTCATATTCAAGCAACAAGGAAACAAGGAAAGAAAGAGGAAAAGCAAGTGCAGCAGAAGAAACAAATAAACAGGCCAGTGAAGAAATGGACAACTGCGAAGTCAAAGCAGAAGGTGAGGGAGTACAGGAGAAGAAAACGTCATTATAACTCCAGGGTGGCACAGTGGTATGGTCAAGGGGGATGGAATCATTATGGGCTTCAGACATGTGCTAATGAAAATCAAGTGAGTGGTAAAACTACAAAAAATAGAATAAAGGAGGATACACACAACATACGTAAACTTGAAAGGCGCTGCTAAAGCAGTTCTAGAAGAAAATATATAGCCCTTAATGCTTACATTAATATGGCAAAAGACTAAAGTCAATCTTAAGAAGACAGGTAAAGAAGAGAAAATTAAACCCAAGGTAAGGAGAAGGGAAATAAGGAGAACAAGAATCAATGAATAGAAAATATGTAAGTGATAGAGTCAACAAAGCCAGAATTTGGTTGAAAAAAATTTTTAAATTAATAAATCTCTACAAAAACCAATTGAACAGAAAAAAAGTCATAAATTCCAATGCCATGAGTGACAGAGATATTATAGAGGCCTTACAGGCATTGAGGAAAATGAGAGAAAATTATGAACAGTTTTACTGTTAATAAACAAATTTCTTGAATAACACACTTATCAAAACCAACTGAGGAAGAAATACAAATTTGAGAGCTTGAGGATTTAGCTTGGTGGTGCCACACCTGCCTGGCAAGTGTAAGGTCCTGGGTTTGATCCCTGGTACCAAAAAACCAAAAACAGAACAGAAATAAAAGTTTGAGTAGTCCCATGTCTATTAACAAAATCTCATTAAAAAAAAAAGAGTTCTAACAAAGAGAACACCAGTCTCTGATGTTTTCACAGATGTATTCTGTAAGATACTTAAGAATGATATAATACTATTCAATGCAAATCAAAAAATATAGGGGGAAAGGAATCTTCTCAACTCATGTTATGAGGTCAGCATAAATCTGATAAAATCAGACAAGGACAATATAATAAAGGAAATTACAAACAAACTTCATAAACATAGAAATAAAATTTCTCAATGAGTATAATCAACAATATTGACAAATCAAATTTAACAATCTATAAAAAAGGTAATGCATTATGGCCATGTAAGGTTTGTCCCAAGATGTAATTTTGTTTTTTCATTTTAAATCAATCAGTGTAACTCATCACACTAACAGAACAAAGAAGGAAAATTACATTATCATTTCAATAAAAATTATTTGACAAAATTTAATGCCCTTTCATGATTTTTAAAATCTCATCATTTATAAAGTTATAAATAGAAGGAATCTTTCTCAAATAAATAACAGGCACCAATATGTATCTTTTAAAAATCTATAGCTAATTGTGTATTTAACAGTGAAATAGTAAATGTTTCTTTCTCAGATCAGAAATAGAGCAAGAATTTCATCTCTCACCACTTCTATTCAATATTGTACTGGAAATCTTCAGTGAAATAAGGTAAATAAACATAAATATTGGAAAGAGATATATTCATATACAGCACAATTATTTATATGGAAAAGGATCTACAAGAAATAATTATTAGTAGGAAGTGAATGACTGATATAACAATATACAAAAAATTGCATTTCTATATACTAACAAAAAATTAGCAATGAGAAATAAAATTCATAGGCATGAATTTAAAATAACATTCATGACTTTTACAGTAAAAACTATACAATATGGCCAAGAGAATTTTAAAAGATTTTAGAGATCTTTATAAGAGGAGATATATCTTATATTTATGTATATGAAGACTCAATATTATCAAGCTAGCCACTCTTTCTATATTCATCTATACATCTTATTCACAGTAAAAATTTGAAGAGCTTTTCCCATAAAAACTGATAAATTGATTCTAAAAATGTATATGAAAATAAGAGAATCTGGAAAAGCCAACAGGATTTTGAAGAAAAGTTTAGTTGGAAGGCTCAGGCGTCTTCATTTGAAGGCTTACTCTAAACCAACAATAGTCAAAACAGATGTATAGATCAACTGAGTCAAATAGAGAATCCAGAAAAAGACCTATGTAAGTACTGTCAGTTGATTTTCAATAGGGAAAGAAAAGCCTTTTCAATCTGTGATTTTTTTTTCTATATGGAAAAAGTAAATCTTGACCTTACCTCATACCATATACAAAAATTTATCTGATATGGATCATAGACTAAATGTAGAGTTAAGCCTATAAAATTTCTAAAAGGAAATATGAAAGATAATTTTCATGATATTCTGGTAGGCAAAGATTTCTTAGTACTGTACATGAAAGTCGCAAACCATAAGGTAAAAACCTTGATACGTAGGACTTTATCAAAATGAAAACCCTTTGTTCTTCTAAATATCCCTTTAAGAAAATGAAAACACAAACCACAGACTGGAAGAAAATATTTGCAACACGCATATCAAAGGACCTGCATTCAGGATCGTATTAGTCACTTTTTCACTGTCAGGACAAAATACTTGACGTAAGCATCTAAAAGAGAAAAGGTTTACTGTGGTTCGTGGTTTCAGAGATTCAGTGCATGGTTGACCGGGTCAGATGCCGAAATATCATAGCAGAAGGGTGTGCCAGAGGCAAGCTGCCCACCCTAGCCACATCTCCCAGACGTGGGCTTCACTAGTCTCCGGCATATGTCTCAAGTCCATCAAGTGACAATCGAGATTAACCATCACAAGAATAACTAAAGAATGCTTGCAGCTCAACAAAAAAGACATACAGTTCAATTTTAAATTTTGAAGCTGAAGGTATATGAAGAACACATGAGCACATAAAAATTGTTCAAATTCATTAATCATCAGGGACATGCAAATTAAACTACCATTTGATATCATGAGGATGGCTAAAATTTTTTGAACTGACAATATCAAATGATCAGCGAGGATGTGGAGTAACCAGAACCTTCACATGTTAAGGGTGAGATCACGAGGTGGCACAATCACTTTGGAAGAGCTGGGCTATTTTCTATCAATTTGAACATATTCTTAACCAACGATTCAGCAAGTCTGTTTCTAAGCATTTACTGAAGAGAAATGAAAATAAATCTAAAATTTATATTTAATACTCATAATAATGCTATTCATGATAGCAAATAACCAAGAAACATATCAATATTCCTTAACAGGTAAATGGATAAGCAGATGGTAGTAAAACCATAGCCTCGGCTTTTTAAAAAAGGAATAAATTGATATATGCAACTAGAAGGACTCTCAAAAACACGTTGAACAAAGGAAAGTCACACTCAAGAGAACAGACTGTACGGTTCTGTTAAAATGAAGTTCTAGAAGACGTAAAATGAATCTACAGTTACAGATATCAGGTAAATGGTACTTGGGATGGGATGGTAAGGATGGGTCTGTGAAGGAGACCTAAGACAGTTTCTGGGGAGATATAAATATTCTGAGTAGCGCAGCAGTTACACAGGAGAATACATTTGCCCAAATTCAAATTAGCTGTGGTGTGGCACTCTGAGAAGCTGAGGCAGGAAGACCTGCAGGTCCAAGTCCAGCCTGGGCAATTTAGCAATTTAGCAAGACCCTGTCTTAAATTTTTTTTTCCCTGTCTCAAATTTTAAAAAATAATAATTTAAAAGGGGCGAGGGATGTAGTTCAAAATGAAGGCTCTGGGTTCGATCCCCAGTATGGCAAGAGAAAGAGAGAGAGAGAGACAGAGGGGGGGAGAGGGAGGGAGGGAGGGAGGGAGAGAGAGAGAGGAAAAAGAAAGAAAGAGGAAAGAAAGAGAAAAGAAAAAGAAAAATCAACGAACAGTACAGAGAAGCGCGTACACAGTATGTGTGTAAATTACGCCTCAGCATGATTGACTTTTTTTTTTCAGCTTTAATTGAGTTTATTGGCACTTTTTAGGTATACAGTAGTGTTACATTCATTGTTGGGATCTTGTACCTTTACATGACAGGTCTTGGTTCTCATTTTTTCCCCTTGTCCCTGCCCTCCCTTTACCCCCTCCTCCCCTCCCTCTACAACCACTTTATTTCCATCATCTCACATTTTTTTCTTTTCCCTTTTTACCCTGATTGACTTTTTAAAAATCCATCCATAGCCGGGGATTTGGCCAGTGGTTTGCCACCTGCCTCGTAAGTGCAAGGGCCGGAGTTCAACCCCTGGTACACAAAATAAAACTAAAAATGTGCCCATAGCTCCCCCTGTTCCACAGATACGTGAAGGTGTTACATTTCTCAGCTCCCCTCCCAGGAGATGCTGCCGCCTGGCTGGGGCTCATCGGGACCCTTGGTGTTGTGCACCTGCCACTGTTTCCAAGTCGGAGGCTCTTGCTGGGCGCCTGTGACAGCTCTCCAAGTTTGCCCAGGGCCAAGGGATTTGCTGGGCTTCCTGAGACAAAGGAAGTTCTCTGATGAAGCTGGGGGAGTCCCGGGCACACTGGGGCAACTGGTCGCCTGATTTGGGACCTTGTGCTGCAGAGGTCTTCGCTCTCAGCCTTAACACCTTGGCGTGTGCTCAGTAAATGTGTCCTGAGAGCCTAGAATAGACCCCAAAGTTCTGCTCTGGTGTTCCCGGGCACAGAGAAGCTGAGAGAGGTAGCCAAGTGCAGAGTCCATCCAGCCCCACATGCAGGGCTCACTTGGGGACCCCCAGGGCTCCAGCCTCTTACCACACTGTAGGGTCCTGGAAGGCAGATGCACACTGACTTGAAGCTCCATTTAAGTTTCTGGAGCTGCCAGTCTTCCAGGGCCCCACTCCAGGAAGCCCTTCTCCCAGGCCTTGCCAGCCGTTTCCCGCTCCAGTGAAGTCATCCAACCCCAAGTGGCCACAGCTTCCTTTCCACACCTCCCAGCCCGCCTGCCCAGTCCCAGCCATGCCCAGAGGAGTGCTGACCTTCCAGGGGCACTGTGCTCGGAAAGAGCCTTTAAGTCAACAAAAACAGCTGTCAGGTTTGCCAAGGGCCGGCTTGTTTTCCCCCTCTGGTCCCGGGTAGAAAAACAACCAGTGCGAGGGAGGGGAGAGGCACAGAGCTGCAACCTGGCTCGCTGGACCTTGGGCCTCTGTCCTCTCAGGCCTGTCCCTCAGGGGCGAGTTTGTCAGGACTCCGTTCCCAGCGGGGAGCGGAAGGACAGGAGGGGGAAGGCGGTGGCTTTGAACAATGCCGCTGTGTTTGACTGCTTGACCCGATTAGGCTCAGTGGGCCTGGAGGGCAGGGGGCCAAGGGCTGCAGAAGCTGGGTTCCTCCCCACCCAGCGCTCCTGCGTCTCTGATCTTTCCACAGGCACAGTGACCTCTCCTCTAATTTAGGACAGGCCTGTGACCTGCCGGGCCCCCTCCTCTCGTCTTTCCTTCCCACCCAATTCAGTGTTTTTCCCACTTGCACAGCTCCCTGCTGGGCCCTGCCAGGCCCTGGGACTCCAGCTGGCACGGACTTGAAAGCCCTTCCTGCCCAGCATCGCACGGAGCCCAGGCCTCAAGGCTGCCCACGCCCCGGGGACTTGAAATTTGGAGCCGCAGAAACTTGGCCACGAGGTGCCAGGAGAAAAGAGCCCGAGCTGCGGCAGGAAGGGAGGCCTTGCACCAGCGCCGCCTGCCCCGACCCCTGAAGCCGGCCTCACAGCACCTGCCTGTCCCGACTGAAGCTGGGGCCTGCGGAAGGGCTGGGCCAGCACAGGGTGTTTGTTGGTGCAGGTGGAGGCAGAGCGGAGCGCTGAAGTTTCCAGCGGCCTTTGCAGGAATGTTGAAAAATGAGAAGTCATGGGGGAGGCCCGGGAGGGCGGCCGGGTGGGCTGGGAGGTCTGGTTCTCAAAATGACAGAAGGCACCAGGCCAGGGCTTCCCTGAGAGAAACGCTGTGTCTCTCAGCGTGCGTGTGATGGCCTGCTTACAGCCGGCAAGGCCAGGCCTGTTTCTGGGCTGCAGTCTGGGGAAACTGAGACCCCAGTGGCTGAGTTGTTTGGGGTCCCACAGCTCATTCAAAGTGACTGCCAAAGTGACTCCTGACTGCGAAAGAATCTCCTAGTAGATCTTGAAATTTCATTCTTGGGAATCTGGGAGAATACACACCAAAATGTCAACAATGGGATTATTAAGTAACTTCAATTTTTTTATCTTTTTGTGTATGCTTTCTAATTTTTTTTTTTACTATGAGCAAGGATGATATGGTATTTATACACAATGGAGTACTACTCTAAAAAGAAGGATAAATATGAATCATTTGTAGGAAAATGGATGCACCTTGAGACTGTAATGTTAAGTGAAATAAATCAGACACATGAGCGTTTCTCTTATATGAAAAATACAAGGTATAAATAAATTAAAGAGCAAACTAAAAGATAATAGGAAACGGAGATGGATCTTTTTCAAATGGGGAGGCAAAAAAAAAATCTATAAAAAACTGCTTATGTGCTCGTTTCGGCAGCACATATACTAAAATTGGAACGATACAGAGAAGATTAGCATGGCCCCTGTGCAAGGATGACACTCAAATTCGTGAATCGTCCATATTTTTTAAAGCCGGGGATTTAGCTCAGTGGTTCCACTGCCTGCCTGGCAAGCGTGAGGACCCGAGTTCGATCCCTGGTACCAAAAAATAAAAACAAATGGGAGGGAACCAAGAGATGGAGGGAGATGGGAGGATAGGGGCTGTAAAAGGAGTTAAGATGTGTTGTGTACATGGACCATCGCCCTCAAGGAATGTAATCATTGCATGCTGCAAGCAGGTACTGATAAAAATAAAAATTAAAAAAAAACAAGAGTAAGGATAACGTGTAGAAATACAATGTCAAGGAAAATGAGTTTTCATAAAATGATACAATGTGCATTAGGTGTTTGACAAAACGAGTGTCTGATCTTTAACAATGGATAAATAGAAGTTGGACTCTATTAGCTTACAGTAAGAAGAAGGCAGGAAGAGGAGGCAGAAAGGAAAAAGAAAGCAGCACATCCGAATGAAGACAATAAAGGAAGAGGAGGAGACAAGAGAAGGAGAATGAATATGAATCAGAAGCAGGGATATTCTCCTCTGATTGGTGCTGGCCCCTCAAAAACAGCAAATATTAGTCAGGGCCCCTTGTTTTCCTTTGGCCCTGCTGGACCCAGGAACCCTGAACTAGTCTTGGTTCCAGCTACAGACCTGGCTAATAAAAGCTCTCTGTCTCTGTGTGTCTCTCATTTTTTCCCTTTGTCCACTGCCTCTCTGCCAAACACACACACACACACACACACACACACACACACACACACACACCCTCTGCTTAGAGAAGAGTACACCTCTTTCTTCTTTCCCAAGGGAGCCCAAGCTAGAGTTGAAGGGGTCTTGGTTGCCAGTTCCCCAGAGTGTAGTCAAACCATCCACAGTGACATCATATTTTCTGAGTGGATGTTTGCTTCAAAAACATAATCCAAAGTTTCAGCCCCAACTTTTTCCCAAAGGCAAGTAGTGAATTTGGCGAAAACAGAATTCATGCCCCTGCTCATTAAGGGAATGGTTGGTAAGAGCACTGATTAGTGAGGGCCTCCCTCACACTCTCCACCCTGTGTCCCACATAAAACTCAGTCTGTGTGGCTCCGGGTGCCAGGGACAGAGAAAATGAGTGTCCTGGGTGTGTCCATTACACAGGCTCGTTGTCAATGGGCCTTCTTTGCAGGACCTGGGTAGCCAAAGTGAGCCTGAGTAGAGAGCACTGCTGAAGGTTAAATCACCCCAGAGGCCCAGGAAATTCATTCTCTGGGGAAGGACAGCCAGGACTGCTGAGGCTGCCTGGAATGGCTCATACTGCTTTTGTGTTTTGGTGTTCTTTGAGATAGGGTCTCACTACATAGTTGAGACTGAACTGTATGTAGCCCAGGCTAGTCTCAAACTTTCAGCAGTCCTCCTGCCTCAGCCTCCCAAGTGCTGGGATTACAGGAGTGTGCCACCCTGCCCTGCCTTGTTTTTGGTACCAGGGATTGAACTCAGGATCTTGGGTTTACAAGGCAGGCGGCAGCACCACTGAGCTAAATCACTGGCCCTAGGGTCACACTGTTCTACAGTCAACTTCTTTTAATAAGTAGAAGGAGCACACACTAAAATAACAATTAAAAAGTATAGTGTAATGAATGTATATACACCAGTAACATAGTCTTTTGTTATCATCAAGTATTATGTGTGGTAAATGATTGTATATGCTTTATTTGTATAAGATTGATTTTTTTTCTCATTGAGTTTATTGGTACATTTTAGGTATATAGTACAGTTACATTCATCATTGGGATCTTATACCTTTACATGGCAGGTCTTGGTTCTCATTTTTTCCCCTTATCCCTGCCCTCCCTTCACCCCCTCCTCCCTTCCCTATTTACAAATACTTTATTTCCATTTTCTTATGTTTTTTTTCCTTTCCCCTTATTACCTTTCCTCTACCCTTCCCACTTCTCATACACCTTTAGCCCTTTTCTTCCTATTTCACATTGTCAGTTATATCATTAGGATCTTGTGTACCATTATAGTTTTTCACACTAGAGAAACTCTTCGGTATTTATACATGTGACTTTTTTATTTCACTTAGGAGTATATCCTTAATATGTATCCATTTTCCCATGAATGACTCTAATTTCTCATTCTTTATGGCTGAGTAATACTCCATTTAACAGAAAAACCACATCTTCTTTATCCAGTCTACAGCTGATGGACAAATGGGCTGTTTCCAAGTTTTAGCTATTACAAACTGCTGCTATAAACATAGGTACACATATATCACTGAGTATAAGACTGACTGTTATTACCCAAAGAAATGGTAGTCTTCAAACATTCCAAAATGATAAGCAGCACAGAACTTCCAATCAACTTTTACAGTTGCTTGTTCATAAATATAAATAGACAACCAATTGCATATGATCAGAGAAGACAAGAGGCTGTGAAAGAAGAATAAACATCTATGAAAATAGAATAGTCATTTAATAAAGAGTTTTTGGTAATGAATAAGTAAAACAAAACATTCAATAGAAAAGATAACAGATAATTTTGAGGGCGTTTTCCAGAATACAGAACAAGTAAATGAGAATTGAGAGAGAAAAGAAAGTTAAATTGCTAGCAGAAATTCCAAAAGGAGAGAAAATGGAAGAAAAATAAATTACCAAATAAATAATATGACAAAAATTTCCCAGACTGAAATAAAAGAGCTTACCAAGAGCCTGGCACAGGAATTTTAAAAGGCTTTTTTGGAAGATTACTTTTCAGTAGAAATTTGATCTTGAAATTCTAGAACACCAACCATAAAGAAAAGAACAGCTTCCAAAGAGAAAAAACAAAAAGTAGATGCATACAAAGGAATAAGAATGGCATTAGACAGACAGCTCCAGAGAAAATGCATCATAAAATTGTGAGAGAATTGTTTTCAACTCAGTTTCTGTTCCCAGTATATTTATCAGTCAAGTGAGAGAGAAGAGAGATGTTTTCTAGACATGCAAAGATTCATAAAATATGCTTCCCAGCCACATTGTGTCAGGAAATATGGGAGGAAAAATGCCAGCAAAACAAGAGAGTAAACTGAGGTAGAAAAAGTCACATATTCCAGGAAGTGGACTTACACCTCAGACACAGTAAAGTTTCAGAGGGTACTCTATGCTAGAGTGAAGGTGTAACCAGTCCAGACTGGAGAAGAACAAAGGGCTCTCAGAGACAGATATAAAGGGAAAACACAGGTTGATAACATAAATGATATAGTAGATTGTGTGATGGAGCTTTTGGAAGTAATTATAGAAAATTATTCAAGGAAAAAGAGAGGCAATTACAACTCCAGTAAAAACAAAAAGTTACACAGGAAAGAGAATGTAATCATAGCGGAGTACTTGACTCTGTCCAAACCATATTTACAAAGTCTTGGTGCAAACTTTGATTATTAATTTAAAGCAAAAAAAGTTGAGAGGGTGGAGAGATGGCAGGTGGAGAAGTGCACAAGTTAATAGCTCATATACTAGCATAATGGAAAAGCTATATGTTCAAATCAGAATATGCATATTATTTTTACATTATAAAGACAACTACTGAAAGAAATGGGAGGAAATGGTTTTTTGTGTGGTGGATGAGGGGATGATTTTGGAATGTGGAGAGAAATAAGGCAGATTACTTTTTCAGTGCAGACTTTAACAACATGTAATGATCTTTCCGTTATACTTTTAAAAGTTTAAATGCAAATAAAATAGCAAGAGGAAACATGAGTTCCCAATTTCATTTTCCCTCCCTTGGAGTGTGAGGAGATGCAAAGCAGAGTAGCTCTTTTATTTCAAAGTTTAAAAATGGTGGGGGTGAGAGGCAAATTACCCAAAGTCCATCCACTACTATCTTCTGGGGCAGGGAGCCAAGGCATGAAGTTGAGGATCCCAGCACAAGAGGTGTCCACAGTAATGATGACTTTCCTCCCCACCTTACCCCACCCCTGGGAGGATCACTTCTCATATTTCTTAATTAAATGACCACAATCTTCAGAGAATTTCACAAGATCAGATGAGAGCAGGATCCAAAGACACAAATTGAAGGAATTTGATGACCCTCTCGTGGAGTGTGTGGCTTCTGACCTGTGTGATCATCAGACTCACTTGGTGGTGGTGGGTTTAACAAGAAAAGATTTATGGGGTAACTTGGGCCCAGAGAGGCATAATGACCAGGCCAGAGGGAGGCAGGACTGGAATGAGGACCTTTGGCCTCCTGCCTACAGTACTGGGGCCTCTGCACACTCACCTGGGCTTCCAGATCATCCTAGTTTTCTCTTCAGTGGAACCCACTGGGACCCGGGGACGCCAAACACACACAGCTCTTTGGATAATGCTGCTGAAATTCAGCAGGAGGAGGGGTGGTAGGGGTGAGAGTCAAGTCCCACGAGATCAGGCTCAGATTCACCTCCCTACCCTCATATTCCCCCAAGCCCCTAGGAGCAATGGTGTTCCTTTGCCAGGCGGTCAACTGCTTGGCTTTCCAAGATGCTCTCCTCTGCCCAGAGGCATGGGATACTGGCCTGGGGTTGGAGCCAGGAAATCCAGCTGTGTCATTTGCCTGGCCTAGCCCCATGCTGATGCCTGGTTCCAGCAAACTCTGATTCATACACTTCATTATTTGGCCACATCCCATCCACCCTCCCTTCCGCCCTTCAGATCACCCTCCCTGCAGGTGGTTGGTGGACTGGCCTGGGCTATTCTGTCCTAGGAACCAGGTGGTACATCCCCAGGTAGCAGAGTGGATAGTACCCATTTGTACAAAATCAAAGAAAAACTTCTTTCATCCTTGAATAATTCCCCATGCTCCTTTTTCCTATATTCTTATAGCTTGGGGCCAAGAAAAATCCTCAAGAGAAGGAACTGAAAATAAAAACAGTATTACCTTCCATTTCCATATAATTTTGTATCTATAGACTTTTGTATACATTATCTCAGATATTTGACCCTCAACCACTCTGAAAGTTTATTGTTGAAGGCTGTTAAGTCCAAGAGCCTGCACAGCTCACTCACCAATGTCCTGGTCACTCAGATAAAAGAAAATCATCAAGCGCTGTCCACACTTCTTTCAACAGTACCACTGGCCACTCCACTTCCTCTGGTCATAAATAAATTTTTAAAGCAAATATATAAAGCATAAAATATTCAGTCAGTGCTCAAATTTCTTCCAGGTCTACCTACCATCCTTGGCAGATGGCTTTTAAGACTCTTGGAATGTGTACAATGCTGCTCCTTTTCCTTTTCCCTTGTCTACATTATTTGTTGAAGAAACCACATCGTTTTCCCAATGATAGAGTTTCTCACATTCTGGATTCTGCTAATTGTGTTTTTAAAACATGTTCTGAAGCAGGACTTAAAGAAAGACAGGTCCTTGGGCAGCCTTGGGCAGTGCCCCCACCACCCATCACCCCCCTCTCCTCTGTAGCAGTAACTCCTTGTTCTGGTACAAATAAAATTGACAACTATGTCCTGTAAACAAAGTTTATGACATTCTGTTCTCATATGATTCAGAAGACACTGTCTTCTTTCAAGGCAAAGTTACAAAACTATCTGCCCTTGTCCAGTTCCAGTAAACTGACTTGCTACGTGACTAGAAAGACCATCCCATCCCCCTTTGACAAAATCTATAGAAGCTGAAACTCCTCTTTGTTCAACACTCTTCCAGTAGACAAGAGTCCATGGAGCCAGTGTACACCTTACACCTGAAATAGAGTCCTCCGGTTTCAGTGTGTGGGTCTTTCAGTCTCTTAGATTCCCACAACAGTTCCCTCATCCCAGGTATTTCCTGTAACATGGTAGAACTGTAGGTCTAACACACAAGGTGTGATTATGAGCAAGAATATGTCGTAGGCTGGGTACTAGCAGGAGGCCCGTGATGACTACTGGTCTCTCTTCGTGTGACGCTCATAGGCACTGGTGAGCACTGTGTAGGTCCTTTCCCTCATGAGGGGTTTGCAAAATGGTGATTCTACTGTTACATCTTGATTCATCAGCTGGAATTCTTCCAGAGAGATTTTTCTCTTCAGTCCTATTTTTTTAAAAAAAAGCAAATTAAATATTTGATCCCCTTCCTTTTTCTCTCTTTTACAGTTTTCAAAATAAATTGGTTCCTACTATATTATCATAAGATGACCTATGAGCTAATTTTTATTATTTTAAATATCAACTCCCAGGTTTTAACCATTCTGATGCACTTATGATTCCAGAGCACTTACTATTCTTTTATCAAATAGTCCCATCTTTGGCTTCCTCCAGGTCCTGATTTTTCTTTCTTTCTTTTTTTTTTTTACAGAAAGTGGTTCATTGCTTTGGTTTTAGAATAAAATAAACTTTTGCAAACTTTAGAAACAACATTCTTAGAGATGTAGAACTCTAAAACACTAGCTATATTGTCAGTTAATCCAGAAAATGTGACGGAGGCAGATGCTAGGCTCGCTAGCGGACCCTGTCCTAGCCGTGCTGTACTGGGTGTCAGGCCAGACTTTCTTGCCCTGCTGCTCACAGGGCTCCTTCTCCAGCACCCACTCTCAGCTCTTCCTCACCATGCCCCAGTTCCCGATCCTATACCAGACCGTGTGGCGGTGCCTGCTATGGGACAAACTGGGCCAGAAGCAGGGTCCAAGGAGGCAGAGGCCCCACGTAAGGCCCTGGTCGGGCTCCGAGATCGGCGTGTTTGCCGCAGCCCAAATTCCCAGCCACCACTCATGTCTGAGGCAGGAAAACAAGGCTGCCCACTCGTGGCAGCTCTGACCTTGCTCCTCCAGGCCTCCTTTTGGCCTCCAGCCCTGGTTGAGGAGCAGAGGATCCCCAGCAGCTCAAGGGGCAAGAGTCCCCAAGCCTGATTTTTTCTAAAGCAACTTCAGCTGCTTTTGACAGCGCCTTTGTTTTAGGAACAAGAAAAAATTCATGGATTATCTTACATTTTTCCTGTCTCAGTCCTTTAATCACGCAGTATTTTTTTAAAGAATGTTGATTCCTTTTGGTGTTTAGGAACTAAGATCAGGATGCTAACTAGATGGGCTTATTATTTACAAAGTGTGTGTTCTCTAGCTCTTTCGATGGACATAGGTAGGAGACATAAACACACATGAACACATATTTATTTTTATTTCCATATCGCGTGGCTTTCGGGATCCGAGGCAGGAGAGTCCACAGTGACTCCGGGTGTCCTGGAAAGCTAGCGCATCTGGTAGTTATCCAATCCAAGAAGCTGGAAGCTGTGGAACAAGAGGGATAGAGGATGCAGGCCAAAGGCCTGGAAGCTCCCTGGAGAGTCGCTGCTACCTCTCCTGCTCGTGCACTATGGAGCCACAGCAGCAGACTTCCTCTCTCCTGCCCTCTCATGCCCTCCAGGCTGCAAGCCTACTGCATGGCGCCACCCAGTCAGGGCAGGTCCTCCCCACCTGGTTTGCTGGCTCACATGCCAATCATCTCTAGAAACAGCCACCCCCCAGACACACCCGGAAGGGTTTCCACTGATGGGCTAGGCATTTCTTTACTTGATCAGGTTGACATATCACAGTCAACAGTCACAATATCTGTGTCTGCGGGCGACTGTCCTATTGATTGCACCCAAAGCAGGTTGTGAGCAGCGCAGGCTGCTAAGAGTTAACCCCACAATTGGCTTGTTTTGAGAAGCGAGTGAGGTTAAAGTCTATGTGTGGAGGTCAGAGTGGCTCAGATCCAAATTCTCTTCCCAGAGTTAAAACCTTCTTTGCTAAAAAGACAAGGTTAATTATTAACAGCAGCCTATATTTTTTCTGTTCTACTCCTAATTCGAGAATGCTTTGTCTCTTCCGTTACAAGCCTTGCCTGAATCAGCAATGTGTCCACAGCAAGTCCACATACACCCTCCTCATAGTCCCTTTTACCTCAACTAACTATGATGTCACCAATAAATATTGACAGCTCTGGGTGTTCAGGGCCTTGCTTGTTCAGCCTTGCTTGCACGAGCATTGGTCAACCTGGCTGTCCACATTTCTCTCTCTAATTCTGTCTCTAAGTCTTCCTTCTGGCCACACATCACAGCACTGAGCAGGAGATCGGGATTCGCTGTGGGAGCCTCTGACGTATATCTATGTATGGAAAACTATGAGTTAATTTCTAGTCCAATGCCACAAGACCCATTCTGTTTTCTCCCTTTCTGCATTTGCAGTATCCTTTCCCAATAGCTACAGATCTGGCTACTATCCTGGACACATTCACCATTTGGCTCACTCTCCTTCTTTTTTTGTTGTTTTTTGGTTTTTTGAGACAGGGTCTCACTATACAGTGAGACTGACCTGGAACTTACTATGTAGCCCAGGCTGGTCTCGAATTCACAGCGATCCTCCTGCTTCAGCCTCCCAAGTGCTGGGATTACAGGCATGAGCCTCCATGCCCGGATTGGCTAACTCTCTTTCTGCTGCTCAGAGCTGCAGCCACTTCCAGTCCTATAAGGATCCCATCGCCCACCCCACTGGACTCCACCCTCCCACCCCGGGCTGCCATCACTGACCATTTATGGAGACACCCTCCTAATCCCACTGACATCCAGTGTCAGCTGATCCCCCACCCAGGAATCTCTTCATCCCACTCAACCTCCACCCCCTGTGCTGGGCACCCTCACCCCGTCTGACCTTGGGGGTGCCTGTCCTCATCACCCTAACATGACAGCTGCTTTACCAAGCTTCATCAACTGACTTCAGGACTGAGTTGCCCAAGAAGAGAAAGAGGATGAAGAAGAGGAAGAATACATTCATTTTCTTTTTAACAAAGAAAAAATTTTAACTGCTGTTGAAATAGATTTCTAGGATTACACAGTTTTCCTTAGTATCTTTGACTGTATATATTTTTATCTTTTCTCTTAAACTACAAATCTTTTTTTTTTTTTGAACGAGGGATTGAACTCAGGATGTTGTGCTTGTGAAGAAGGTGGCAGGACCACTAAGCTAAATGCCTGGCCCCTTAAACTATAAATCTTGATTTCTAACAACATGCAGATTATTACTTACTTGATCTTACTGAAGCTTTAATGCATGTTTCAGAAAAGCAGAACCAGTACTACAACAAACAATATGACTGATAAAAACAGTTTAAGACCTTTTGGAGTTCTTTCTGTCTCTGAAGTATATCCCAGTAAGGATGTGCAGACGAATTACTGTATTTTGGAGTTATTTAAAATAATTACTCTCCATGTGCTTAAACCACAAATTTAAAGTGTAGTTATGTTTGTTTGCTTCATTTTGTTTTTGAACATTAGGGGTGGTTGGAGGAAGAAAGGGAAGATGAATATGGTAAAATAAACAAAAACAAACCAACCTTAGGCAGAAAGAACTGTAAAGGGGGCTAGTTCAGTATGAGTGATATGAAAATGCCAGCTGGATAATAAAGGAGGAGTCTGGAAAGTTAGGAGAGAGCACAGAATAAAGAGGAATTAAGATGTGTTGTGTAGATGTACCAGCTCCCCAGGAAGAATGTGATAATTATGTACTATAAACATGGACTCATAAAAAAAATAAAAATTTAAAAAAGAAGAGGACCAATGAGCTGCAGAACCCATGCAGCCCTTTTGAGAAGAACTTGGCAAACAACCACCACACATGTGGTCTTAGCCTTTGGCCCAGCCAGCCTTCTCCTAGGAATTTACCCCCCAGAGAAGCATAAGGAGCATAGGTGTTTGGGTCCATTCTTTGTAATAGTAAACGATGAGGGTAACACAAGTATCCATCAAGACACAGAGAGAATCTAGACACAGACATAGACATAGGGCCATGGGGGTTAGGGTGAAGCAAAGCCTGAGGAAACAGCAATTAGGAGAAACAATTTACAAGGAAGAAATATAGAGAGGGAGAAGAGAAGAGAATCAAGTCACTCCCAGAGTTTGCATAACGTAGATGCTCAGTGACTATTTGTTCATAAATGAATAAGTTAGCTGAATCAAGAAGAAAGAATGACACTGATAGTCACAGTGAGAAAAACAAAACAAAAGCATGCAGGCTACGAAAAGGGAACAAAGAGAAGGACTGGGCCTTCCTTTTCCTATGCACCAAATTCTTAAAACACTTAAAGTCTCCTGGGATCCAAAGACTTACCTCAAGTGGAGACGAAATCCATGTTTTCGCAAATTCTACCCCGTCCCTCCTGCCTCCAGGAATGATCAGAACCATAGTACAGTATGTGACCCAACTGCTAGACTTTCTCTGCCCCCAGGATGAGATACAATAATTGTATAGGTTAAGTCTGCATTTCTTTATGAAGAGTAAAGTTGATTGCCTTTTTTAAAAATCAACCACTCAACTCGATCGTCTTTTTCTCTAACTAGTGTACTGATGTTCACAGTGGCCAGAAGTGGTAAGGTGAAGAGTATAGGACAGCTCCCCAGCAAATTCCGTCCAGGCTTCTAATCCTCTCCCTTGTCCCCCTAGGCCAGCCAGACCTCAGGAAACACTGGGGAGCCTTAATACAGGATGAACGGCACCATCTGGCCAGAAGTCTGAGTTATCCTCATTGCCTCCCTCACCTCGTCCCTGTACAAACTTGTGTACAAACCAACCAGGTGACAGACACGTGCTTCTCTCCATCCTCTCATGAGCAATCTCAACAGCTTGCTCAGTGTCTATCAGAGCACGCAGCAGAGGAAGGCCGAGCGTAGGCTACGTGACAAAGACTGCGTAAGTCAATACAAGGGGTGAGCAAACTATGCGGTAAATGTTTAAATTAAAAAATTGCAGTAAAAGATGCATTGCCATTAGTTCCCTTCAGATAATCTCTCTCACTGAGAACACGCTTATCCCATCGTTGTTGTCACTTTCCGAAGCAGTCCTGGAAGTCCTGTGTGTCTTTATGCAGTGTTATCAAAAACAGCATGGCCAAGAGTCAGTCAGTGAGAAGGCCGCGTAAAACCATTACAGTGTATCTTTACCCACTTTATTCTCTGGATCTGGCACCAGGGGACTTTCAGCTCTCTCCCCAAAGTAAAAGGACCAAGAAAGGTAAATGTTTTGAATCCATTCAGAACATCGAGGCAGCCACAACGAGCCAACTAAAGACACTCATGAAAGAGGACCTCCAGAGCTGCTTCAGAAAGTGGCAGGGACGGTGGGATGAGTGTGCTCAAAGCAAGAAGGAGTATTCTGCGAGGGATTCACAACAATGTGTCTTTTGCCGCAATATAGTACTTAACATTTAAACACCATATTTTTCCATCATACCTCGTACACTGGAGAAATGGGAGCAGTTTTCCTGCTGACAGAGAGGACAGGTATGAAGTTGAAAAGAGGGAAAATAAGAATGAGCCCTGTAGTGAGGATTAGTTGGACGTAGTAATGTGGCCCTGCGGTTTAACAGACAGGCAGACAGATAGAAAAGTAAACAGGGCTCCAAGGGAAATAGGAGTGCAAATCTCCACCGAGAGGCCCTGGGGACGGTCTGGTGGAAACGCAGCTGATGTGGCTTGGGGATGGTGATTGAACAGCACTTTCTACTAAGAGGAACCAGTGGTTCATGAAGGAAGGACTGGCCCCAGGGCTGAGCAGGGAAAGTACAAGATGACCCTGGAACATTTTCTTTTTTGTACCAGAAAATAAGGAAATGTTCAAAGAATAATGGGGATGTCAAAAGGACATAACAACCAGCTCTAAAGGGCTCCTACTATTCAAATATGGAACAATTTGAACACCAAAAAATATTAATAGACTTTAATCCTTTGGATAAAATAGGAAACCTGCACTAGTTAAAAAAAAAAAGTAGCATAGAAATAAGTCCATGTGAAGAAGAGAAAGCTCTTCCTTAGGCTACATTGTCAAACTAATAAATGCAGAACGATAAAATTAGAAAAGCATCCTTTAGAGC